TGGCAAGAAGTTCGTTGGCGATATGTCTATTGTTACTAGTAACATTAAGTGCGGTCTATGAAGTGCAAGGAACGTTTTTATTAAGGCATTACATGAGGAAATTTCCAAGAAGGTCCAGAGAATTTCGCCCATTTGCTTGCAGAGGCATGCTGAGGTTTGTGGACGTTTTGGAGCATAAGTGCCCGTTTAAGCCAGAGTACAAGAATTTCTTCGGAAGGCTAAAGAGCTACGTGAGCTTCCTAAACTTGGCATCCACGTCGAAAAACTATGATGTCGAGTTGAAAGGGCAAGCCGAGGGCCTTAATAGTGCTATGTCTGCACTGACTGGTAAAGGCGGATCATCGGTAAAATTTAGTCAACCCTTGAAATGTATTCAGATAAGGTAGTACTAGAAGATGCTCAGTGGTTTTATAATGTTTATTTTCTTTTGATTTTACCATCAGGTGGATTCTACCAAAGTTATAGATACTTTAATGTCAATGGGAAAGACTATGGGGGACAACCAGAGGAGTGGTTCACTAATAATGAGGTTAGGAGAAAGGAGAGAGCTGGCCATGTCTATGGCTAAATGGGCACAAGTGATCAGTCAATTCGTTTCGAGTGCCGCAGCAAAGAGTGGAAGCTCTATTGATATCTCATCTTTAGGAATTGATGGCATCGATGCAGAAATTAACTCATCATCTACTTCTGAAACTGGAACCTCGTTAAACAAAGGCACTGGCACCACAAATGTAGGATCGACCGACATTTCAGCTGGAGGCCCTACTGGAAGTACAAACACTGGCACAACAACTACTAGTTGCACCACAGGTGCATGTTCTTCGGGTGGTGGAGTAAATCCTAATGGTGGTAACTCCTTTAAAGGATCTATCAACTACAAACAGTCGTCAGACCAGAAATCCTCCGATCAAACCGTCACTGGCAGCTCCTAAAAACATGATTCAGCTTCAACTAGTAAGACCTACCTAGTATATATCAAATTTTGTTAATAATTAATATTATTTCAATAACAACACGGCCCTGCTAACATATCAAAGCAGCGAGCTGTAGAATAATTGGCTCTATATATAAGCCTATTTGATATAAGATGAGATTTTTGTTTATTTTTATTAATACTTTCTCTGTTTTAAAATGAA